TATATTATAAATATATATGTACTATAGCATAATAGATATATTATATACATTATATAATATATGTTAGTACACAAAATTTAGATAATTTGCAATTATCAATTTTTATTAATTTAAACGATTTATGATAAGATCTGTAAATAAAAAAAACTATTAATAATCGGTACGGTAACTAGTGATCACATTGTCGATAGTTTTCTTTTGATACATATATATTATAAATGAATATCATTAATATTATGGTATTAGTAAATTTTTAATGAAAAAAAGAATTATTATTTTAAATATTCTCTATATCAATATTAAACATATCAATTAATTTGTTAATACTTTTTTTTCAGTATGTGGATTTATGTCTTTCTTGTTGCCAAAAACAGGAAAAGAAACTCTCGAGTAATTGAAGTACGATTCGTCTCCTGAGGAAAATTGAGTGATAAAAATATTTCCAGAAGTGGAAGAAACAACAATCAATACGCATTGACAAAAATTGTCTTAGCGTTCGAATTATATTTTTACAAAAACTAACAATGTATTTATTACGATAATAATGATCGAAGAAAATGTTTCGATTTCTACGAATGTTTCGATTCTTATAAGATTATGAAAGATATTCAACAAAAAAAAGTATATTTTTATTTTAACAGCAGATTCATGTAAATATGTAATATTTATTTTATGAATGTTTTACATTTACTATTTTAAAGAAGATTAAATAATATGATCATAAATTAAATAAGATAATGTATAGACGCGACTAAATTTTAAATTGCGCGCCAAAATAAGTATTTCATAAAATATTTTATTTATAAATATATGTCAAAAAATGCTATTTAATCTTTATAATCATTATATATTTATTTAAAAATACCTGCATTCCTAAACTTAAACCTATTAACATGATTTTAGAATATACATAATTTTGAGGTTAAAGTTATTAATTTCGAAGTTAAAGTTATTAATCGCAACATTATACAAAAAATGCTATTAATAAATTTTTTCTTACAAATTTAATATGAAATTTATCATGTAGTATAATAATATAAAAAATTTTCAAGAAAAAGACCATAAAAAAGAAAAAATTTTAAAATTGAATTTTAAATCCAAATTAAAATAATATATTTAATACTATATTTTATAGACATTTATTAAATTGTATTATTTAATTAATTAATATAGTAATATAGTAATTTTAATCATAAAACTAAAAATGAATGTTCACATTGATAACATAACCTATCCTGTATTGCTGAATATCTAGATTATAAGTTAAAGAAAGATAAAACATGGCAACATAACGGCAAGAAAATATCTAAAAGCGCTCATTATAACCAACAAGCGATAACGTTCGGTAGTGAAAATTACGGCATTTAGTTGTGTTAAGTGCAACGATGAATCGCAAAAGATAGTCGATATTGATGAAAAAAAGTAGACATATATGTATATTGCAAATGATCGACACCGTGTTCCGTCCAATGATATAATCTTCCTTGAAGTCAAGGAAAATTTTGTGGCGCTGTTTCAACAGCTGATCAACTAGCACAATCTCCAAGCAAAATTCTTGTTTCCAGTTAGCTAGGTGATTCGTGATAAACGATGGCCGAATATGTATTAAGAGTTAAAACGAAATCAGGTCAAAAGGTCGTGAATGGATTGCTCCCGCAGGATAAACTTGGCAAATTACGATCAAAACTTGTTGAAATAACAGGAATACCAGCAGAGGCACTTCACGTTCTTGGTGGTTTTCCACCGAGACCAATTAATCTGAATGACGAAACAAATTCGCTTGAAGTGTCCGGGATCATTTCAGGAGATACATTGATTGTTGAAGAAAAATCGCCACTTTATAATGGAAAACAGAAATCGGAAGAAATCGGACGAACACATATCGTTGACGAGAAAAATTTCACGAATACACCTGGTGTATTAATGAAGAAGGTCGTACCTGCAGATAATTCTTGCTTGTTTACTAGTGTTGGCTATGTACTCAATGGTATATGATATAAATTGTATAAATATATTCATATTAGAAATTACAATATATTTATAAGTATATTTTCAGGTAAAGTGGATCCTAGCTGTTCAAATTTTATGAGAGAGATTATAGCAAATGCAGTAGCATCTGATCCTGAAGAATATTCAGAAGCTTTTTTGGGCCAACCAAATCCTGAATATTGTAAATGGATTTTAAAACCAGAATCATGGGGTGGAGCTATAGAATTGTCAATATTATCTAAATTTTATGGATTAGAGATAGCAGTAATTGATAGTATTAATGCTATAATCAATAGATTTGGAGAAGATCAACATTATCCTCAAAGAGTTTTTCTAATATTTGATGGAATTCATTATGATCCTTTATATTTAGAACCACTTGATGTGAGTAAAATTTTTTATATATTCTTAAAATATATATATAAAATGTAATATAATTTTTTTCTTTTATTACATTTTTTCTATTTACACTCACAGGGTAGCAGCATTCAAACAATCTTTCCTACTGAAGATGAGAAAATATTATTTGAAGCAGCTGAACTTGCAAAAGAAGTAAAATCTAGTCGTCAATTCACAGACATTCAAAAGTTTATGTTAATATGTAATGATTGTAAAATCAGATTAAATGGTCATATGGAAGCTCGGCAACATGCCAAGGAAACAGGTCATATGAACTTTGGAGAAGTAGCTGTGTAATAACTAAATTAATTCTTCAATAATTATCAATCATTTTTAAATGGACTGCTATTGAGAATCCTACTAAATTCAAGTCTCAAGCAGAATTTTCTAAATTTTCTAAACGAGGCTTGTAAGCAGATTAGCTATTTAATATTGATACTTTGTTATTAATGTAAGATGTATGCAGTGCACTATGAGGATTGTTTAGATATGTAATTTACACAGATTTTTAATTTTGTCTAAAGATTGATATTTCTAAACATCAAAATTTATATAATAACTTTCATCACAATATAAACAGTTGTAACTTATTATACCCAAACACATTTTATTCCCAATAAGTTTATTTTTATGTTTATTTTATTGGAAGATTTATTTGAATTTTAAATTAAAATGAAATTCTACATATTTTATTTTAATTTGAACAAATTGAATTATCTATTCTAACAGAAAAAAAATTATTTATTTTTACATGAACAATATTAATTTTTATATGAAAAAATAGAATATTTTCGGAAATTTATTAATAAAAACAATATGTTAAATATGTTCTTTTGGTAAAATTAAGAGTCTGTGATACTTGATTAAATTTGCCTAAATGGAATTCATTGCCTTATTGGCAATAAATGTGTTCCATATCATATACATAAACAAATATAATATATATATATATATATATATATATACATTAAAAATAATAAATAATTCATAAAGTTAATTATGAAGCGAAATAAACTTTCAATTAGTTTTGTTTTCAATGACAAATCACTTTAGTATTGTTAATAGTGAATTTTATATGATATATTTGATATAATTTAAATTATTGCTCTCAGGAGAAAAAATGAATCACTGTTAATACTAAATAATATCACATTTTTATTAATAAAGATATTACTCAATGAAAAACTACAAAATGCTATTTTAAAAAATTTGATCTCTATTGCAATAGTTAATTTATGATTTAAATATGCATGTAATACAAAAAATAAAAATGTATACTTATATAACAACTATTAAACTTATGTATGTATATACATATATACATATAGTATATATATATATATACATAATATTAGGATATTATAATTATTTTATTATTACGATTTTTACGCGATTAAGCATGCATTGTAAAAATATACGAGTTTCGATAAAAAAAAATGAAATTTAATTTTTGTAATATTTATGTACGATATTTTTTAGATAATTCCAGCACAACTTTTGTTTTTATGTAAATAATATAGTTTATTATATCATCGTATTATATCATTAGATATAATCTACTATGAATCGATTAGATTCAAGTAAAAAAAAGTTTGCAACTATTTATCATTCAGGAAAATTCATAATAGACTTGCAAGTTTATATTTATACAGCATATATTTTATAAATCATATCGTTTTGAAAAATTCAAATAAATCAGCTATTTATATTTTGCTAATAATTAATAATTTTTTTACGAAATTTTACTGAAATTTTTTCATCTTAAAATATTAAAAAATTATAGATGTTTAAAATGATCACTTTTTAAAACTATTGCTAAAAAACTAGATTTAAAGAAATTTCATAATCTAAAAATAAACGAATGTAAAATTTCATACATGAATTAAAAAAATTATAAATAAATAACTTTTGAAATAAACTGAATAAAAAAAATCAAAGATCCATATCGTGTTAAATTTGAATCTTAACTAATGAAAAGTGGAGGGAAATATTAAATCATATAAGTTTCGTTTTCATCTCACAGAGCGCGTAAGAAGTGACCCGAACATATATAGATGGCGGGTTGTCATTAAAACAGAAACGATGCACCATATTTAGTAGGCTACTAGCCATAGTGAAAAATTGTTGATTGTATCTTTTAATTTTATATGAATATAAAAGCTAATAAGAGGAGAAATGTGATCCATTTCATAAAGTAATGGCAACAGCTTCTTATTCTTAATTACGAAAAGCAGAAGCTCTTGTCTCAAAGTGAGACATCGGACGTCGGTCGTGAAAATCTGGGCATGTTGTGTGAAAAGATTATTGATATAAAAAAATGTCACTGATGTCGTCAACAATACGTTCAATCCAAAGAAATTTATTGACAAATAGGTGAAGATGGAAGATGAAGCTGATCTTAGAGAACAATTATTTCACAACACAGTACGGGAGAATATTGTGAGTAAAAAATAAAATATTTTTAATCATAAATTTCTTTTATTATTCATTAGTTTATATAGAGGGTTCTTAAAATTTCTTGCGACGTTCCTGCAATAGGCAATCGCCACGTTTTCCTTACATTTCCTTGCAATTAAATTCAATATTTTTACAATCAATCTTTTAAATCACGAACATGTTCTTGACATTGAAAGTTAGAAATAATGTAATGTAAATTCTAGTACCTAATCTTTTATCTATTCAACTAAATAAAATTTCATTTTTAATATTACCATATATATTAATAATATAAAAAATTTAATGAATAAAACATAATTAATATTGTAATATAAAATATAATTTCATATTTATATTCATATTATATTTCATATTATATTTATAATTTCATATGTTTATATTTATATTTTATGAAATTAATTTTTTATTAAGTTTGTAAAAAAGAAAATAATACTAATTACTTACATATGTTATTGCTAATTTTATATTGACAAACAAAATTATTATGAATAATAAATATAATATATAAATATAATAAAGAATATAATAAATATAATAAAGAACAAATTTACATAAATTTATTAATGAAATAAATCATTCTAATTATTTAATTAATAAAATTAATTAATGTCATTAAAAAATTAAAAAATTATACATATATTTACAAAAGATTTTATCGTCTTTTAAATATTGTGTTATAATAGTATAATAATTCTTAATTTAGTCTTTGTTTAATATACTTAATTAAATAATTAACAGAGTAATTATCATTTGAAATTCGAAAGAATATTGTTAAAAATAATTTTTGCAATATATTTTCTCAATACTTTCCAAAGTCGTTGACCACATATTATTTTTTATTCTGACCGGTTTTTCCTTCCACCTTGACTGGTTACAAAAAGCGCTTTCTGATCAATTGTGCAGCTTCTTCAATCATTTCTTCAAACAGCAATCATATTTACTTTTTTAAATAAAATTGCAGTTTCTTATGAGCAATCTATATTCGGATATT